GCGCAAAAACCGGAAGTTTCACCCGCTGGGAGCATAAACTTCACTCTCCATTTGCCGGAAGTTTCACTAAAATCTACGCAAAAATGCGACAACCAGAGACTTTTAAAGAAGAGCTTGGAACGTTGACATTTTCACCCATTTGAAGCCAACTTTCGAAAATTCCTAACGTCTTAACCAGAAAGGCCAAAACTCGGAAGTTTCACCCGCTGGGAGCAGAAACTCCACCCTCCAGTTGCCGGAAGTTTTCCTCAACTCTAGCCAAAAATGCGACACCCAGAGACTTTTAAAGGGGAGCTTGCGAGGTTGAAATTTTCAGCCATTTGAAGCCAATTTTCGAAAATTCCTGCCGTCTTAACCAGCAGGGGCAAAAACCGGAAGTTTCACCCGCTGGGAGCAGAAACTCCACCCTCCAGTTGCCGGAAGTTTCCCTCAACTCTAGCCAAAAATGCGACACCCAGAKACTTTTAAAGGGGAGCTTGCGAGGTTGACATTTTCACCCATTTGAAGCCAATTTTCGAAAATTCCTAACGTCTTAACCATAACGCGCAAAAACCGGAAGTTTCACCCGCTGGGAGCATAAACTTCACTCTCCATTTTCCGGAAGTTTCACTAAAATCTACGCAAAAATGCAACAACCAGAGACTTTTAAAGGGGAGCTTGCGAGGTTGACATTTTCACCCATTTGAAGCCAATTTTCGAAAATTCCTGCCGTCTAAACCAGAAGGCGCAAAATTCGGAAGTTTCACCCTCTGAGAGCATAAACTTCACTCTCCACTTGCCGGAAGTTTCATTCAAATCTAGGAAAAACTGCGACAACCAGAAACTTTTAAAGGGGAGCTTGCGATGTTGAAACTTTCACCCATTTGAAGCCAATTTTCGAAAATTCCTGCCGTCTAAACCAGAAAGCGCAAAACTCGAAAGTTTCATCTGCTGGGAGCAGAAACTCCACCCTCCAGTTGCCCGAAGTTTCCCTCAACTCTAGCCAAAAATGCGACACCCAGAGACTTTTAAAGGGGAGCTTGCGAGGTTGTAATTTTCACCCATTTGAAGCCAATTTTCGAAAATTCCTGCCGTCTAAACCAGAAGGCGCAAAACCCGGAAGTTTCACCCTCTCAGAGCATAAACTTCACTCTCCACTTGCCGGAAGTTTCTTTCAAATCTAGGCAAAAATGCGACAACCAGAAAATTTTAAAGGGGAGCTTACGATGTTGAAACTTTCACCCATTTGAAGCCAATTTTCGAAAATTCCTGCCGTCTAAACCAGAAAGCCCAAAACTCGGAAGTTTCACCCGCTGGGAGCAGAAACTCCTCCCTCCAGTTGCCGGAAGTTTCCCTCAACTCTAGCCAAAAATGCGACACCCAGAGACTTTTAAAGGGGAGCTTGCGAGGTTGTAATTTTCACCCATTTGAAGCCAATTTTCGAAAACTCCTGCCGTCTAAACCAGAAGGCGCAAAACTCGGAAGTTTCACCCGCTGGGAGCAGAAACTTCACTCTCCACTTGCCGGAAGTTTCAGTCAAATCTAGGCAAAAATGCGACAACCAGAAAATTTTAAAGGGGAGCTTGCGATGTTGAAACTTTCACCCATTTGAAGCCGATTTTCGAAAATTCCTGCCGTCTAAACCAGAAGGCGCAAAACTCGGAAGTTTCACCCGCTGGGAGCAGAAACTCCCCCCTCCAGTTGCCCGAAGTTTCCCTCAACTCTAGCCAAAAATGCGACACCCAGAGACTTTTAAAGGGGAGCTTGCGAGGTTGAAATTTTCACCCATTTCAAGCCAATTTTCGAAAATTCCTGCCGTCTAAACCAGAAGGCGCAAAACCCGGAAGTTTTACCCGCTGGGAGCAGAAACTCCACTCTCCACTTGCCGGAAGTTTCACTCAAATCTAGGCAAAAATGCGACAACCAGAGACATTTAAAGAAGAGCTTGCG